TGTATTCAGAAAAGTTGGGGGCCTCCTGCTGACCTGAGGAGGCAGAGGTATGTGGCCTGGATTAGACGGGAGCACCGTGCAGAAGGAAGCCCTGAGCTGGGCGGGAGGGATGGGCAGGTTCTATCCAGGTGCTGCCCGGACCAGCTGTGGCCTCCACTGCACCGGGGACAAATGCAAAGTCCCTGACCTGCCCGCGTGCCCTAGTGTGGCCTGGCACTGCTCCCCCGCCCCCCCTTTCTCTTCACAGGCTGTGGCCCAGCCTGGCGCTGAGCACTCCCAGCATCTGCCCCTCTGCGGGGACATCTCCCTGAGCTCGTCAGCCAGCTTGCTGCTCCTCACCACTGTCCAGCGTCAGTGTCCTGAGCCGCAGATTCCTGCGTTCCAGTCACTGTGGGTTCAGTCTCTGCTTATCACTCTTCACTGTTTAAATTGTAAAATGGCCTAGTTGGTTCTTATTTGCTACGTTTTCCCCAAAAGAAAGGAGAGTTCCACAGAGTAAGGCCAAGGTTCTCAGTTGCGTTCCTGAGCCAGCAGCACAGCCTCCCCGGGGAGATTGTTGGAGGGGAGATGGCCCCGATCCCATCCCACACCTGCTGCATCGGAGCCCAGGAGCCGTGGGCAGGCTCGGGCCCAGCCTGGGGTTGTTCCTCCAAGCACAGCTCCGAGCCGCCTGCCTCCCAAAGCCACCAGGACAGGATTGTGTCAGTTCAGTGCAGAGTGTTAACATTCACACCGAGAGCTCGTGGTGTGTGATGCTGCTCCTGCCTGAGTGGTTAGAGAACAAGACAACATACAATGTCTTCTGGTCAGAACGTCCCGAGGAACAGGTGTGTGCTCTGGGTGTTTGGGAGGGAGACCGGCAAGGACAGGGTGACGGGGTGACGGGGAGGTAAGCTGGGACCTTGGTGGTGAGGCAGAAGTGCAGGCCCGAAGGAACCTCCGTGTCTTCCTTGGCTCACGGCTGTTTTATTGTGTTCTTAGCACTCAACCTTGTCAGAGACTAAGTTAGCTTTTTATTCTATTCACCATCTGCCTTCTCCCCTTAGACGCAGGACTTTTTGATCTGGTCTGCTCCTCCTTCTCCTGTAGGGTTCATAGTCGCTGGGGATCTCTAGTAAGTTTATCGGGCACAATAAAAATATTTAAAATATCTTACATTTTAATAGCGTTTTACAATTTTTTCTCAAAGTGCTTTGTCCAACTCCCACTATTTGTGTTAACAGTCCTATCAGGCCCGCCTGTCAGGTCTTTAGAGTACCGGTTTTACAAACTGGGAGGATGGAGCACAGAGAGGTCAGGTCATTTGCCTTAGGTCACACAGCTGGTGAGTGGTGGCAGTAAGAACAAAGGCTGGGTGTCTGTTCTCAGCTTTCCCTGATCTTTGGAGCCTACCAGTGGCTTGCAGGACAGACTGGAATCTGAAGGCACAGGCCACTGGGTGTGGCCTTAGCTTGCCTGGGTCAGAACCAGGCGTCTCTGCCAAGGGCACAGGCAGTCAGACCCGCCGTGGTCCTCACCTGGGCAGCGTCTCTCTGGGACTAAGTCCACAGGGACTGTCCAGGCATTGGTCACTCCGCAGAGGGAACATTTAGATGTTTGCCAGCTCCCCCAATTCCACGGTCACCTCGAGGAGTGATGTCTGGGTCTTTTTCAATTTGGGGAAATAATTAACTTCTTGGCTTCCAACCCTGCCTATACACAATTTCATTTCCTCAAATAAGTAATTTGATCCTCCTGAACACATGAGTAATGCGGCGAGATTGGACTCTTCCAAAGAGACTCGGCGTTCGGTCCACTGAAGGCGGTGCTGGGAGCGGACCGCAGCCCTTACAGATATGAACCGAGCGCAGTGACATGTCTTGTGGCCACACCCACGCCTGTGAGCCACCGGCGGCCAGCTCTGAGCTTTCACTGGGACTGAGCGCCAAGCCCCAATATCTGATCCAGCTTGTTTTGCCCCGGGTTCCCTCTCAGAGGCTGGCCAAGAGAGGGTGGTGCAAGATATGGTTTTTATTTAGTGCCTCTCCCCATGCTCGATTTGAACGCAGTGACGTGGGTATGGAGGGGTTTTCTGATGTCCTGATGATCGGTATTTCATCGTACATATGCAGATTTGTATGGCACATCTGTGCCAGGGACATTCAGCATTCCCATAGTGCTAGCCAGTGTGAGTTGCATGTGGCCAGGTTCTCATTACAGAGGGGAAGGAGGAAGCGATAGAAAAACTCAAAAGAAGAAAAGATACAGAGTGTGGGAGTTTGTGGCTATGTACGCATGTGTGTATGCATGCATGTGAGTGTGCATATGTGTATGTCTGTGCATGTGCGTGCACGTGTGTGTGAGTATATATGTGAGCGAGTATGTAAGTGCGCGAGCATATGAATGTGTGGGCGTGCATGTGTGAGCGCATGTGTATGCATGTGTGACTGAATGTGTGTATTGTACGTGTATATGCGCATGTATATGCAAAGGTGTGACTGCTATGTGTGTGGCTATGTGAGAGTGTGTGTGCATGAGCATGAACACGAGTGTGCAAATGCATATGTGCATGCATACATGTACATGCATATGAGTATGTGCATGTGTGTGTACATGTGTGCATGCATGTGGGTACGTGGGTGCTCCCATGTGCATGTATTTTAATGTGTGACTGTGTGTGTATGTGTGTGTGTGTGTGTGTGTGTGTGTGTATAAAGCCCATTTGCACGTGGAAAGGCCCGGGTCTGATACAGATCCACAGTAATTGCACCATCACTGTCCTGATTCCTGTAAACCTCCAGACACAAGGTTCCCCTTTCTGGGCAGCAGCCAAGCTGGGGAGAGGGGTGTCCAGGCCATGGCGGGCGGCCAGCACTCCCGAGTGGAGCCCAGCTCCCCTGGGGCATGGAGATGGCTGAGCTGGCATGCCCTGGTTCTGACCCAGCACCCTCCCCCCAGCCTGGCACAGGATCCCCATCCAAAGTGTCCTGGCCGAACAAAGGTGTCTTTCTTGGGACACTACCTCGGGCCTGGCTGAGTGCAGCGTGGCCGCTGTGTGCTGTGGCCGGTGCGCCAGGGTGAGACCTCCCTGAGTGGGGCTGGCAGTGGGGGAGGGGGTGCTCAAGAGGGAGGGGACTAGTGGGGGACCTGGGTTTGAAGTGAGCTCTGTCCCTTTGGGACTGAAAGAGCGGCTCTTCCAGGAGGCACACAGGTGCACGATCAGGCGCTGAGCACCTGCTCCGGGAGCCCTCTGTCCTCACCCTGTAATAACTGACCGCCCAGCCGGGCGGCTCCTGATAATCGGATCTCCACGGCGGTCAGGTGGGCGGGGGAGGGGGACAGCGCTCCCCGCTGTGTGCCTTTGGGCCAGAGGTCACCCCTCCCCTGGCCTCAGTTTGCTCACCTGTGAAAAAAGGCCAATGCCCATTTCCTGCCGCATCCTGCCGCAGCGAAACAAGGCGCTGTGAAGGCTGCGTGTCTGATCCAGGCCAATGGGCGTTTCCGTATCGCCTCGCGGTGAACAAGGGCTGCCCCGCCCTGAAGGCGCTCTACTGACACACAGCGCCCCTCTCCTGGACGTGGGTTGTGTCAGTCATTTCTAATTCCAGCGACACCCGCACCATGTCCCCTTCCCCAGCGCCCTCCTGTGGGCCATGGTTCGGGTGCGGGGTCTCTTTCCTCTGGTCGCTGGGACTTGGAGAGCAGGGACAGGGTGGCACCGTCCCTCTGTCCCAAGGAGTCCTTGTGCCGTGACCACATGTGAGCCCCGCTGCTGGCTGACTGAGCAAATGACAGAAGGAGCCAGTCCCGGAGCAGACTCGGCTGCTCTGGGTCTCAGGGAGACCCCGTGAGGAATCTTGGGGAAGGCAGTTTCCACACAGCAGCTGCGGGGACTGCCCTTCTCGGGACCCTCGCTGGCCGCCTGCGGGATTTTACCTGCTGCCTCGTCCCGCTGGAGCACAGCTGTGCCTGGGAGCTGGGGCCCCGCCTCCACTTCCCTGCCTCCTGTCCTGGCAAATTCTCCTGTGCTCCCCCCACCCCCCTTTCTCCTCCACAATCCCGGCCTCCCCCACTCCTCCAGGCTCACCTGAGGCCCCATCCGCCTCTGTTACATGTGCCACAGGCTGTGGGGGGAACACAGCAGCCTCCAGCACTGACTGCTCCGTGCCCAGTGCCCAGTGCCGAGCCTGGCAGGGTGGCCAGGAGGTCAGGGGCCTGGAGCAGGGCCTGGTGGCACACAGTGGCCCACAGCGGTGCCCACTCGTGACTGCGGCTGCCTTCGCAAGGTGACAGCGGAGTTGCAGCTGCAGTGGAGACCGTGGACCTGCGGAGGAAAACGTGGCTCTGGCTGCTTACAGAGGAGGCCGCACACTCCCTCTAAAGTGTCACATGATTCCTGGAGGGCCAGGGGGCTGCAGAGAGCGGAGAGGGGCGGCGAGAGGAGGCCGCAGAGGGAGAAATGTCCCCCAAAACGACAGCAGTGGCAGAGCACCAACCCGAGCCTCGTCCTCTCTCCACCCCCTTCCCCGCCCCCCTCCTCCTGCCCCTCCCAGCCTTCCTCTTCCCGCCTCCCCATCCTGAGAACCAGTCTGTGCATGCGGGTGGTCTGCAGGTCCTGGGGCCCTCGCTCCAGGTCTGGATGGAGCAGTGACAGCTACGCAGCAGTGCCAGCAGACTGGCATTTATTTAACGCCAAGCAGCATTCTGAGGGCCTTACCTGTCAGCCCCCTGAACCCTCTCAGACCCCAAAGAGGGGGGTTCTCTTACACCCGGGTTTGCAGTAAGGGAACGGAGCTGTAGAGCGCTAAGCCACTCCCCACCCCAGGGAGGTCCGGCGAGGACACACTCGGGAGAACCATCTCGCTGGGTGCCTCTCAGCCCTGCCTGGGCTGCCCCATCGGAGCACCGAGCACCAGCGCGCACGCCCGTGTAAGCCTCGGAGGCGTGGGCCGAGCACCTCTTAGGGAATCGCGCTGCCCCAGGCAGTGGCTGCGAGGAACACCTCCTTTCTACCTTTTCAGGCAAAAGTGACGACGAAGACAGTCTCTGCAAGGCCGCCCACGGGGCAGGGAAAGGAGCGGCTGAGGACAGCAAGGACCACAAGCGCCCCAAACGGCCCCGAACCATCCTGACCACCCAGCAGAGGAGGGCGTTCAAGGCCTCGTTTGAGGTGTCGTCCAAGCCGTGCAGAAAGGTACGGGAGGGAAGAGGGGGGACGGGCCCTGCCCACTTCTGCGTGGTCACCCCACTCCTCTGGCGTGGTCACGGGCACCTGGGGTCAGGGCGGCGGGAGGCTGCTCGGTCTGTGCAGTGGCCTGGAGCGGGGTGGGGGACTCCGGGGTCTGAGGCTGTGGCCAGAACCGCCCGAGCTTTCCTGTGAGCGTGCTCACACCCGTCACTCGGCTGGCCAATGGGAAGAGCACAGGTGCCACTTGGGGTGACCACGGTGCTGGGACTGAGAGCCACACTGCGGGCTGGTGGTCTGCTCTGGTTTTGCTCCTGTTTGTTCCTCTTGAGGAGGTGACCTGGGGACTCGTCTGTGTGTCATTCCTTGGCTTTGGCCGTTGAATGGCATCCTGCCATCCGGATGGGCCATCGTTCGTTTGTTCACTCACTTGTTATGGATCAGGCTGCTGTGAATTTTCATGAAAAACAGAAAACAGAACGCAGTAGAGGTTGGATGAGGGAGACACTTACTTCTCTCAGGCGTCACGGTCTGGCCGTGACAGTCCTAGGCTGCTGGGCCGCCCTGCTGGCCATCGCGTGGCCGGGGCTAGTTGGTTCTCACCACTGCTTGCCGCCACTGTGATGGAGAAAGAGGAAGTGGAGGGCAGGCAGCTGCCTCTTTAAGGGCAAACCCAGGATTCTTTGTGTCACTTTCATTCATATGTGTTTGGCCAAAATGTGATCCTGGGATGGCCTCTTGCAGGGAGGCTGGAGTGAGTCTGCCCGGCCGACCACGTGCTGGCTGAAGCTGGGGATCTGGGTGCTGATAGGAGGCAGAGGGTTGGTGTTGGGGACGCTGGTCTCTGCCACGGAGCGCTGGCATTGAGCAGCTCTGTTCATTGAGCAGCTGCCGTTTGTGGCTGCCTGTCACAAGCTGGTCCCTGTCACGTATGTGATACAGATAAGAAAGCCCTCATTGAATTTCATGGAGGAAACACACGAACACTTTAGCCTTGTTTTTCCTGCATCTGTATCTGTGTCAGTCATGGTTTGCTGCCGTAACAAACACCACCTCCGTGGTTTCCAGCCCCTGGGCAGGGCAGGGCAGGGCTGCAGCCCATGGGCTCAGGTTCCGCCGTCACCAGCCTCTCCTTCGAGGGTTGGGCTGATTGAGAGCGGCACCTGATGCTGTCCTCGCGGAGATGGCAGAAGGCCAGAGGCTACGTCGCCCAGCAAGCCCAGGGAAGCCCTCCTGGGTTTCACTCCCACTGCCGCGCACCCACTTTCCACGCCACGACCGGCCTTGGCCAGCCCCACTGAGCTGGCGTGCGGGGAAGCCGGGGAGGAGCAACACTGGAGAGATTGGAGCTATTCACGGCAGAGTGCTCGGCGCTTCTCTGGGCTCCGGGCGGTCCTGGGAAAAGAGAAATGGCCTGCAGTCGGCTTGCTCAGGACAAATGACCACCCTCGTGGTGATTGTGTGCGTGCACTGAACGCCCACCCCCACGGGCCTGTGCCCAGCGGGTCCCGGCAGCCTCCAGCCCTGGCAGCAGACATGCGTGCACGTGACTGCACCTGAGAGAGGCCGCGTGGCCAGGGCCCGGGCGGCGGGAAAGGCCCCTGTGCCTGGGAGTCAGCAGGCTCGCAGAACAGGCAGCTCTTGGCTGGGCCTCTGAAGGGCGGAAAGGGTCTCACGGTAGAGGCAGGTCCCTGGGCACAGCTGTGTACAGAAGGCTGTGCTGCGCACTGGTCTGATCCCCCCACTTGTAGCTGTGGAGCCGATGAGGGGAGTCCTGCCCAAGGCCTCCCGGCCGCCCTGCTGATGGGCTCACTCAGGGAGCTCCTCCCGAATCCGACCAGCAGGGCCATGCTGCTCCGGCCCCTCGGCATGCGTCTACACGAGGGCAGATATTTAAACACAGCTCTTCATGGTGCGGGTCCCCATGGCCCCACTCTGCACGGCCCCAGGGGGTGTGCCTGCTCAGGGCGTCTGCTCTGCCGGAATCCGGAGGCCGTCGCAGTCTTTTTGGGCCAGGCTCTCGTGGGGTTACTGAACATGAGTGTTCATGAAACACCTGGTCACCCAGAGCTTGGGGACAGAACCAACACCTGGTCACCCAGAGCTTGGGAACAGAACCGAACACTCAGGTCATGAATTAGGACAGAGAAGAGAACCACTGTGTTTTGCTTGGCGGCCTTCACTCTGGGTTCTCCTTGAGAGGGTCAGTGCGCACGCGTGGTGGTCGGCTGGGCACAGGCTTTGCAAAGCTCGAGAGCCATCTGAAAGCCTGATTTCCAGAGTCGGGGACGCCCCAAAGACCTCGTGTTCACTTCTAAGTGGACACTCACTCCTCCCCGTGCGCCTGGGAGACCCTCTCTGTTCCCGTGCTTCCATCTGGCTGCACGCCGGGCAGTGCCGTGCCGGCACCAGACCCCTCAGGCCTCCCGCACTCTGCACCGAGTTCCCACCTTTCCTTCGAGGGTCTAACGCTCTGTTTTTCCAGGTGAGGGAGACGCTGGCTGCGGAGACCGGGCTGAGCGTCCGTGTGGTCCAGGTGTGGTTCCAGAACCAGCGAGCCAAGGTAGCTGGCGCCTCAGCCTGCCTGTTGGGGGCGGGCCCCTGGGACGGGAGAGGGAGCCGTGTCCTGGCCGACAGCGTTCCGACCAGCTCACTCATGGAGCGTTCCCTCGACTTCGAGGTTCTGCTCTCAACAGTCATCTGAGGCCCAGCCGTGTGCGGCTGCGGAGTGGTGGGCGTTTGTCCTGGTGAAATGGCCTCTGTTTTCCTCGTGGCCATGACTGTGGGCCTAGCCTGCGTGTGCGTGTGTGCGTGAACAAGTGTCTTCCTGTGCCTTTTGGGAAAAGCAGGTTCTTTAAGTTACATTAGTCTTACCCAGATCCAAAGTTCTTTTCAAATGTCAGAGAGAAACCTACAGGCCCACGTATGACTGTTCTACCTCGACATGATGGCCCGTGGGTGCCTCCTGCCTCTCCCAGACCAACAGCCTCCCACTCGTCCCCCTCTCTCCCCACCCAACCAGTGCAGGCCACGTCTTCATAGTACCATCTCCATTCTCCCGGGCAGGCCTTTACTGTAAATGTTTTTATTGATTTGAGAGAGAGAGGAGGAAGGGAGGATAGAGATAGAAACATCATCAACCAGCCACCTCCTACTCCCCCCCCCCCCCCCCCCCAAATCAGGCCTGCAACCCTGGCATGTGCCCTGACCAGGAATCGAACCAGTAATCTCAGTCACTGAGCTACACCGGCAGGGCACAGACTTTTACTTTAGACCTGAATTCACATGTCCGGTGGCCCATTGCTTGAGAGCCCTGAGCATCAGCGGGCTCGCTGTTTACATCACAGTTTAAGGAGCGTGTGCCTCCCTGAGTTTCTCAGAACACGCCGTTACTGTGCCTTCCGTGGTCCTTCCCGTGGGAGGGTTTCAGGGCTAAAGGGTGTGAAGGGCCGGCAGCCTGCGGAGTCACGTGGCACGGAGCACCTGCGGAGCTCTGGGGAGCCTCGTAGTAAGAGAGTTATTTTGTAACCTAGTGTCTCCACGCACACACTCCAGTGGATATTGGTATCTCATGGGACCCTCGCCGTTCACGGAACATAGTTTGAGAAACTCCGGTCACAGTGTTCCTTCAGGAAGTGTGTGCCCTCATGGTCTTTGGGGGTGAGCTCCTTACCTGGAGGCTGACCCTCCCAGTGGGTCTGCAGACCCGAGGGCCAGCAGGCAGGGGAGTGATGTGGACAGCTTCTAGTTCACCCCAGCGCACACCCTGGGGGCAGCCCCTGCCAGGCTGCAGGCCCCTCCCCGCACACAGACCTCATGTAAAACTCTCAACATCAGCAGCAAGTTTTGTTTGTGGGGAGAGACTCGCTGCTCCTGCTGAGACACCATGGCTGCCGGAGCTGCCATTCCACACGGCACCTAACTCCGGGCGCTGCGTGCGCGTCACCTCTGGGGGCCTGTTCCAGCCCTTCACGCGGCCGTCCCCGAGGCCTGAGCCCTTGCCAGCCCCCTGCCGTCTAACCCTGGGTCTCTCCGCCGCAGATGAAGAAGCTGGCCCGGCGGCAGCAGCAGCAGCAGGACCAGCAGAACACGCAGCGGCTGAGCTCAGGTAAGGGCCCTAACGCTGTCCTTGCCAGGCCGACTCCCCTGCCACAACTTCCAGCTGCCCAGCTTCCTGGACGGCCCCTGTGGGCTCCCAGACGCCCTGGCCTCGCCGTGTGGTGGAGCCTGGCATGGGAACTGAGCTCGAGGAGCTGTGACCTGTTGGCACTGCTGCAGCCTGGATCGCCTGCGGGAGGGGGCGCTGGGCTTGCCTGAGCACCTGCCCTGGCCCTGCCCAGTGTCCGGACAGTGAGGATGGCCTGCAGCTCCTCGTCCTGCCTAGTCCTCTGTCCTCGGGCAGATCAGCCCCATGAAGCATGTTGTGACTCCGCCTTTGCCAAAATTACGTAAAATGGGGGGATGATGACAGTAAACGAGTAATTGCCTGCTTTGCGGAGCAAGTTTCTAGTTCACAGCCACCTGCTGGCCTGATGCTGACAGCAGCCACCCCGAGGCCAGCGGTGACGGTACTAAAGGGTCCACGAGGCTGACCGAGGCCCCACAGGAGGAAGGGGCCCATCGGGAATCCAGACCCCTTTCTCTGATTCAGAGTTCCTGCATGAACCTCATTTCTTTAAACTGTATTTTGAATTGATTTCAGAGAGGAAGGGAGAGGGAGAGAGAGATGGAAACATCAATGATGAGAGAGAATCATTGATTGGCTGCCTTCTGCATGCCCCCCACTGGGGAGTGAGCCCGCAACCCAGGAATGTGCTCAAAGCAGGAATCAAACCCTGACCTCCTGGTTCATAGGTCAATGCTCAGCCACGGAGCCACATGGCCGGGCTGAACCTCATTTTTAAACGAGGACTGGGAGGGAGTGGAGGACAGTGTGGGAGTCCTCAAGGAAGCTCAAAACACTCAATCAAGAGTAATGGTTTTAGAAAAACGTCTGTTGAAGCGATATGGCCCCAGTCAGCCGTCCGTTCCACAGATCCCCCAATGGTCTGCGTGCTCCTAAGACAGGTTCTCACATGCCCATCACCCACACGTGGGCCACCTGCACCTGCAACAGCACAGACTCTGGCTGTAAGATCAGGGCGGGGCCTGGGAACCTGAGTGCCTAACAAGCTCCCGCAGCTGCTGGTCTGCGGCCACACTCGGAAGGAGTGGGGCGTGGTTCCGGTTCTCAGGCCCCAAGCAACGCTCCATGCCCCTGGGTGGACCCCGGGCTCAGCCAGGACGCCATTGGCTGCCCAGAGTTCCCCAGCTTCTCACGCGGCTCTTAGGAGAGTTAAAAACATTGATGAGAGAGAAACATCGACCAACTGCCTCCTGCACACCCCCCACTGGGGATGTGCTCACAACCAAGGTACATGCCCTTGACCAGAAGCGAACCTGGGACCTTTCAGTCCCCAGGCCAACGCTCTATCCACTGAGCCAAACTGGTTTCGGCAGATGCCTTTGTTTCAATGGCGTGGTTTAGGACGCTCTCTCATAAGGCGCAGGCTGGGACCCGCCAGTCAGTTCATGTCTGTCCCCTCCGTGAACGGGAAACCCTGACCCAGCCAGTAAGAAGTGACTTAGCCGTGGCCACACAGTCCTTTGACGAGATGCTCTTCCCCTGGTGGCCACAGCCTGCAGTCCCCTTGGTCACTGAATAGGCTGATTGGGTGTGACCCCCGAGGGTAGGTCTTACAGGATATGGCAGTTTCTGCTCCCTGCTCTCTGGAGTCACCATCTCTGGGGAAGTCGGCTGCTGCATTGTGAGGCACTTACGCAGCCCTGCGTGGTCCACGGGGTCAGGCTACGGGGGCGCCCAGGGCAGCCCAGACTCCCTGCGCTGCCCCCGCCTGCCCTCCACTCTCCTCTCTGTATGGGGCCGCAGCAAAGGCCAGTGCCCGGCGGGGCCCTGGGATGAGGGCTGTGGTGTCTGGAAGATGCTCTGTGTCCCCCTGCCCGGCGGGAGATGCGGGCTGCATGGGAGGTGACCTGGCCTCTTTGTCCCTCAGCTCAGACCAACGGCGGCGGGAGCACCGGGCTGGAAGGCATCATGAGCCCCTACACGGCCCTGCCCACCCCGCAGCAGCTGCTGGCCATGGAGCAGGGCGTGTACAGCGCGGACCCCTTCCGGCAGGGCCTCACCCCGCCCCAGATGCCTGGAGACCACATGCACCCCTATGGTAAGAGGCCTCCGCGGGCGGGGGGGGGAGGGGGGGGCACGCTGCCGCCTCAGCCCGCCCCTCAGGAAGTGAGGAAACAGGACCTTCCTGCGCTCGCAGGTGCTCGTGGTCCGCCTGCAGGATGGCCCTCCTCAATGCTCACCTTTGGTTTAATGGTATTTGTCAAGGAAGCACTCAGTTCTACTGCCCAGCCCCACCCTCCGAGGTGGCCCCTGCTGGCCCCCAGGCCGCCACCCCACAGGGACCATCACAGCTTGCTTGCATGCGTTTCTTTTCTGCGCAAACACATCCGCCCGTTCCCAGCTGTTTCCTGAAGCTGCATGCCCCACGAGGCCCAGGAAGTCCTGCTGGGTCCCCACGCAGGGGCCACAGAGCACCCGGCAGGCAGGTCACCAGCGCTGTCTCCATTCACTCCCCTCAGCGCCGCTGAGTTCTCGGTTTTAAGCAGGAGGTTGTGCTTCCCGCCTGCGTGGCTGAACTTCCCGTTCTTCCCCCCGGAGAGGGGCCGGCGCGTCTGTCAGCCCTGTCAGCATGACCTAGGCCAGTGGTCGGGAAACTCATTAGTCCACAGAGCCAAATATCAACAGTACAACGATTGACATTTCTTTTGAGAACCAACTTTTTTAAACTTAAACTTTAAAAAAAAAAAATATATATATATTTTATTGATTTTTTACAGAGAGGAAGGGAGAGGGATAGAAAGCTAGAAACATTGATGAGAGAGAAACATCCACCAGCTGCCTCTTGCACACCCCCTACCAGGGATGTGCCCACAACCAAGGTACATGCCCTTGACCGGAATTGAACCTGGGACCTTTCAGTCCGCAGACCAATGCTCTATCCACTGAGCCAAACCGGTATCGGCTAAACTTAAACTTCTAATGCCACTTCTTCAAAATAGACTTGTCCAGGCCTTGGTATTTTATGGAAGAGCCACACTCAAGGGGCCAAAGAGCCGCAGTTTGCAGACCATGGATCTAGGCAGGAGGCCCAAGGACATGATAAAAGCAGAGAAAACGCTGTTCTCATTGGACCAAATGGACGCCTGCTCGGTTCTCCTGGAATTCCTGAAGCAAAATCTGACCTGAGAGGTCAAAAGAACCCCAATTCCCACGCCCACCCTCCACCACGGGGGTCTAAATCCTGGTGTGTGGAGAGCTGAGCCTCTGCACTCCCAGTGGCTGGGTGAGCTCTGGCTGGAGGCTGGGGTCGGACCTCAGGGCCAGGGACCCGGCAGCAGCTTACACGAGGTCAGCGGCCCGGGCAGCAGCCCCTGCCGGTGGAATCCGCACACAGAGCCCGAGAGCTAAAAGCAAAGTCTGAATGGCAAGCCTCCAAAACAGCATCTGAGACAGGCCTCAGTGCACGCGTGTGGTCCAAGTTCTGGTTAGCCTTTATGTTAAAGCCCCCTTGCTCTTCACGTTGGCCCTGTCTGCCCTCAATGCGTCCGATAAACCCAGTGCAGGCTGGGCCCTGCGGTCCTCGCTGACCCACCGCCATCATACCCGCACACCGGCAGCCTCTGTACTCGTCGTCACTCCACGGCTGTGGAAAACTGGGCAAATGCCTTTTTGCTGATTCCTAAATTTCCAGTCCCAGGGGTCTTACTATTGTACATACAGGCCCTGAGGACCCTTCAGTAAAATGAACCGTTAAAGCCACGAGACAAGCCCAGCCAACTGGTTTTCCCTGTCCCGTTTACTTGGAGTGTCCTCTGGTTGTCACGTGGCCTCCAGCTGGCCGGTCGGGGGTCCCCTTCCGCTTGCCCGCATACAGATGCGGGAGGCAGAGGTGCCGCGCCCCTGAGTGCGCTGTCATGGAGGGGAGGTGGTTGACTGCCCTCGCTTTTGCCTGCGCTCAGCTTGGCGTTTGGCGTGTTTTCAGTTGTTGCACTGCAGACATGAGCCCCAGGAGACTAGAGGCCTGTGGACAGGGACTCTGTCCGTGTAGCCTCCCACGGCACCCGCACGCCAGAATGCTGGGTGCTGGTGTGTTTCTCAGCACCCAGGGGAGTCCCTGCTTTCAGACCCTCACGCCTGTGTTTCTTCTTCATTTCAGGTGCTGAGCCCCTTTTCCACGACCTGGATAGTGACGACACCTCCCTCAGTAACCTGGGTGACTGTTTCCTAGCAACCTCAGAAGCTGGGCCCCTGCAGTCCAGAGTGGGGAACCCCATTGACCACCTGTACTCCATGCAGAATTCTTACTTCACCTCTTGAGCCTCCCCCAGAGCTCGGTGGCCGGGCTCCGTATGGAACACCACACGCGGGAGGGCCGCTGGCTGCAGGGCTGGAGGCCGGGACGAGGCAGCGGGGGAGGGTGTCTTGTCGGAGATGCTGCCGAAGGGGGTGGCTGGCATTTCCAAAGACTGGATGCATAACAGATCGCATAGTTTAATGTTTTAATAAGAGTCTTAGCGTTAGGTTTGCAGGCGTGTTTGTCGCTGAAGACAGGGATGTTTAATGTAGACATTGTCATGCAGGCTAGATAGTAGAGACCCTAACCGCTTCCCACCTCCTCAGGAAGCGCTTGTCAAGAGGTGCACACGTCTCTTTATCCGTACAACCACGGCAGGCGGGCAGGCGGGCAGGCAGGGGTGTGAGTGACCTTTCACACGTCATCTGCAGAGTCTGTGCCCGTGATGGCAGACATGCCTGGGCAGCAGGGGTGTGGTTATTTTCAGTGTGAGCTCTATTTAAGGAAACGCTTGATGCACTTAAGTTATAAAATGAGAGGAATTACTTTTATAAACTTTATTTCTCGTTGGAAGAGACCTGTGCAGGCAGGGAGGGCTGCTCCCGCGGCCCCCGGCTCCGAGCTCTGTCGTCAGCACCACGGCGAGTGGGCAGCAGCTCGGCGTGGCCAGCAGGTCCTCTCCTGGGCTTGGCCCTCTCGGGGGCCTGGCACTGGCCCGGGACAGCACAGTTCATGGCTATGCTCCTGGAGAGGGTGAACCCCAGTCCTTGTTCCTTCAAAATTGTGACATGTGGTTGTTGGTGGTGCCAGGCAGTCCGTTCTGCGCTTGACTGGCATCATCTGCAGGTGGGGTGAGGTCTGTAGTCCGTACGTACCTTATGGGGGACCCAAGGCCTGGTCACCCCAGGACACACGGGCTGAGGCGAGTATCTGAGGTTTGTTCAAACCACAGCCAGACCGGTCCCGGGGCGGAGGCGGGCCCTGGGCCTGCAGAGCTGAGGCTCCTGTGCCCTGAGAGCCGCGGTGCCAGCGCCCCTTCTGGGAAGCCAGGCTCAGACACCAGGGAGGGGGCTGTGGCTGTGGGCACAGGAGGGCATCGTGGGGTTCCAGATCAGGGGCAAGCCGCAGCGAAGAAGGGTTCCTATGGTTTTAAAAGTTGTTAAAAGGGAAGGAGACTGCACGGAGTGTATGTGGCCGGGTAAGGCCGAAATACTGTCTGTACTTCTCACATGTCGTGTGCTGGCCTGCCCTGGGCTCTGTTCCTGGGGCTCATGGGGTCCAGGTGGGAGCCAGGGCTCCCCTTAGGCTCACTTTGCTGACCTGACCCCGAGGACCCCGCTGCCATCACACATGGGGGGGGGGCTGCCCCCGTCCTCCGGGTGCTGCTAAGATGGGCTGCTTCTGTGCCGGGAAAGGAGCGCGGTGCCCGGGAAGGCGGTCCTCTGGGCCCTGCGAGGCCCGGTCCAGGCCGCTGCCTCCGGGGACGACGCCGCCATCAGCCTTGGACCCAGCGCTCGCCCGTCACTCGGACCCAGGCAGGAGGGAGCATGCCCTGGCGGCAGCGTCGTGGTCATGTGATATTTGTGCTCTGGTTAATAATTTATGCAACAAGCCTCAGCCAGCCCGGCGAGCGGACAGCAGGCGGCGCGGTGGGGCCACCGGCCTCGGTGGGAAGGTCCCCGGACAAGGCAGCAGGTCCCCTGTGAGTGAGCCGAATAGAGGCCCCGTTCCACTCCTCCACCTTGCAAACCGAGATGAAATTAAAAACCTCTTACACACGAGCTGCTGTTTATTTGGGGCATGGGGGTGGAATAGGGGTGGGGACCAGGGGGCTGGTGTGTTATCACAGGGACGTGGGGCGGGGCTGATGGCGAGCTTCCCATGAAGCGAAAGGGTGACTCCCCAAAAACAAGGAGAAAAGGGCCCCCCTCCTGCTGAGATGCAGCCAGCGACCCCCCAGGAGGAGGGCCTGCCCGGCCTGCCCTCAGTCAGGGTCTCGGGGGCAGAGGCTGGAGGGGCAGGTGTTGCTCCCTCATTTCATAGATGAGAAGCCGGGGTCGGGGACGCTCGGCCAGTCTCAGCGTTCTCATTTGTCTGACTTCCGAGGGCAGGGGTGGGGCGTGGAGTGCACACCTGCCCAGGTGGGCACAGAGAAGGCCTTTCCCGCCCGCGAGAAGCTGGCGATGGATGCCGGTAAAGGACGCGCAGGAACTCCCTGTAGGCCTGCGTCCGCTGCTGGCGTAGGTGACGTGTGCTCCGGGCGCCAGGAGAGGGGCCACAGGGAGAGCCAGGCTTCCCCAGGCAGAGGGCCCGGGCTGGGCCTGCAGAGCGGGCGGGACTGAGAGGCTCGGAGAGGAGGGAGGGCCTCAAACAGCAGGACCAGCACGGCCAGAGCCCTGAGGACGGGAGGACGGCCCCACGGGCCAGTGCGGGGCCCGCTGGAGGGAGGGGAGTGCTGCCCAGGGGTGTGTCTGAGGCTTCGAGGGGCTGATGGTGAAGGTGCTGGTGAGGGGTGTCTCCACTGATTGCTAAGGAGATAGGCATGGCCAGGGCTGCTGGTAGTTTCCTTTGTTCTATTCTCATACGGTACCATCAGGTCTGTGGTCCTGGTTACTCGGAATAAAGCCTCTGTCCCTCAAAGGCCAGCCCAGCTGAGCGGCTCCTCCGCCCACGCCCGCCCAATGGGGCGTCAGGAGAGTCACGGGCAGCAACTCGGTGCCACGTCCTCCTGGCTGGAGCGCAGGTGCAATGGCTGCAGGGGAGCGGCGATCTCAGACCAGGATGTGAACTTGCGAATGGAGAGCACCGTTGAGGGACAAGGCAGGAGGAGCCCGGACTCCTGAGGATTCCTGGGAGGCACGCTGCATTCCCTGTCCAGGCCCTAACTCTCCTGGGAGAAATAAACCTGTGTTTCAAAGCTGCCCTGTTGTGTGTTTAAGTGGCTCACAGCAGACTGGATCCTGACACAAAGCTGGCGGGTGAGGGAGAAATCTCCGGCCCATAGACCATGCAGGTAAATGGTGACGAGTGCAGATAGCATGCTCACGGGCGGGAGCCAATGGGGCAGGACGGACAGGGCGGGAGGGTCCCTGTGACTGAGGACATGAGGATGGTCTGGGCCACAGGTGCTCCAGCTGGGCCTTGTCCTCAGCGGAGGGGCGGTTGCAGCTGTGTGGGTGACCCGTGGCCGTTCCTCTGGCTGTTCTCAGAGCCGCACCAGGAGCGCGTGGACCCTCCCCCGCTTCCTCAGTCAGGCCAGAATCTCTGGAATCTGGGGAGAAGCTTTCCTTCCTTTTCTTCCTGATGGCCTTTGGCCTGTACCTGAGCCCTCATGCTCCGGCCTCAGTCCTCCATGACAAATAAAGTGACAGTGCAGTTCTCCAGCCACTGCACTCTGGGAACAGTCACCTTTCCCAGAGGACAGGGCTCCTGGTCAGAAGAGGATGTGGACACAGGGTGAGGATCGCCAGGGCCTCAACAGGTGGGTGCGGCTTCCCAGCAGCCACGTGGAGGGGGGTGGCATCCTGGGAGGTGATGTTTACACTGGGCCTTGGGAGGTGGAGCACAGGTGGGGAGCACAGTCCAGAAAGAAGAAATGTTAGAGGAGGAGCAGGGGATGATGGCAGCGTGGCCAGAACGTCGGAGCATTGTGAGCAGGAGTGCAGGGTGCGGAGTGGCAACACAGGCTGTGAAATCAGATGGGAGCCGGGGGGCAGGGAACCAGGAGGGTCTCACAGGCCCCCAAAACTGTGCTTACCCATTGGGGGCAGCAATGGTTCATCCCACAAACCTGTCCCGAGCATCACCAGGAGGGAGACAAATTTGGGGTGTGATCAAGATAAGGACACGCATGGCCAGTGTGGCTCAGTGGTTGAGTGTCGACCTATGAAGCAGGAGGTCCCTGTTCGACATGTTGTGGGCTTGGTCCCCAGTAGAGGGCATGTAGGATCCATGATTCTCTCTCATCATTGATGTTTCTATCTTTCTTTCTCCCTCTCTGAAATCAATAAAAATATATTTTTTTAAAAAAGAAAAGGACACAGCTTCCATCCTTACAAAGTTTAAGGTAAGTATAGATTCCAGCAAGTCAGGACTCGGATGCCCAGACCCCCAAGAGTCAGATGTTGTGAAAACTGGTGTTGCTCAGTATGTAGAGCGTCAGGCCTGCGAACTGAAGGGTCCCAGGTTCGATTCCGGTCAGGGGCATGTACCTTGGTTGTGGGCACATCCCCAGTAGGGGGGTGTACAGGAGGCAGCTGATCGATATTTCTCTCTCATTGGTGTTTCTAACTCTCTATCTCTCCCCCTTCCTCTCTGTAAAAAATCAATAAAATATATTTTTAAAAAAAGAGATGTTGAACCCCTGGGGTATGGCTTAGACTTGTCGCTTTTCGCCTGGACATTGGCCAGTGGGAGAGGATGCAGCTTAGATGGAAATGATCAGTCCTCTGGGACGGGAAACCAGCGTGGCCTCAGGTGCCACCTCATTCTGCCGCTTGCCCACAGGGACCAGGGGTGGAAGGGGGGTGAGTGGCTGCCTGAGCCAGGTGGCACTCCCTGTGGTCACTTGATGCAGAGCAGTGGCCTGGCTGAGGGTAGGGGGAGGGGGGCACTAACATGGGGCGTCGCTTGGTGGCAGAAGTCACAGGACGTGGTCACTAGTAGGGAGAAGAGGAGGGAGTGAGAGACTTTGGGGCTCAAGGAACTGGGCACACGTGATACCTTTAGAACTAGGGAACCTGCCACGCCCACCCTCCACTGTCCCGGAAGATCCCCTCGAACAAATGCAAACATAGAACCTGGCAATCAGTGAGAATCACTGATCAGCTGCCTCCTGCATGATAGAGTATCAAGCCACAACCCAGGCCTTTGCTCTGACTGGGAATCAAACTGAACCTGCCTTTGTGGGACCTCAGGGCTGTGTCTGGGATGCAGTCTGCCAGGATGAGCACTCGGGGTGGGGGGGAGAGGGAGGCTGCTGGCCAGTGAGCATTTGGGGGGCTGTGGGGAGGCTGCTCAGTGCCCCGTTGCTGCTGGACTGCTATGGACTCCCGCCTGGCAGGGAGTGCAGGCTCAGAGGAGGGTCTTTGAGGAACCTTGCCAGAAAATGAAGGTATTAGGTGCGGAGGGCGGGGAGGGGAGAAAGGAGGGATTGGGATTGACCTTCGTGTAGGGACGGGGACATTCCATCAACAGCCCCTCTTTGTCCTCAGATCAAGCCCGATGGCCTGAGACTTGCCAGAGATCACGTTTCAGGCAGGGTTTCCCTGATGCTATCGGCAGAGGGCAAGGGCCAGCTCTGAGTGGTGCCACGCCAGTGACTGCGCTCTGCAAAGGCGGCAGGCAGCGTGGCTTGCAGCTAAATGGCGAGGTTTCTGGGCAGGAGAAGCGTCAGCGTGGGCAGGGGGACGAGGCCAGCCTGCTGATCTGACCTGGAGGGCACAGGCGCAGGGCGGGGCTCTCTCTCCATAGACACGCACTGCCATTTAAGTCAGTCACCGGCCAGGGCAGAAAGCTGGGAGCAATGCATGGCATTAATTTAATACATTTTATAAACCCAGCATATCCCAAATGTCATTGTTCAGCACGTCTGCCGGCTGCATTTCAAGGGCTCGGCAGCCACATGCCGTGGGGTGTGCTTCATCAGAACCCAGGGAACGTGGGCTCAGCACGTGTTTCAAACATGGACGGGGGGAGGCAGGAGGAGTCTGGTTCTGAGCTGGAGGAAGCTGGGCAGTGGCTGCTTTGCAGCGGAAACTTACTCTCCTTGGGCTGCGGGCGTCTGGTCAAGGGTAACGGGGGGTGAACCCTCTTCCTTTTTTCCTTCTTTAAAAAAATGTTTTTATTGATTTCAGAGAAGAAGGGAGACAGAGAGAGAGATAGAAACATCAGTGGTGAGAATCACTGATCGGCTGCCTCCTACATGATCGAGTATCAAGCCACAACCCGGGCCTGAGCCCTGACTGGGAATCGAACTGTGACCTCCAGGTTCACAGGCTGATGCTCAACCACTGAGCCACGCTGGCTGGACTCCTCTTTTTTTCTTCCACTAGCTTCCTCTTTTCCTCTTCCTACCTCCATTTACCCCGATACTCAGCAGACAGGGAACACCGACGGAGCCAGAGAGCAAGGGCGTGTCAGGCCTGCATGGCCAGGGGAGGGGTCGTGACCGATGGCTGTTGAAGTGGCCACGCCAGGCTGCACACAGTGTGTCCGCGTTTCCTTACCAGAGGAGCTGACTGTAACTTTGTGATTCGCTGAGAATGGCCTGTCCCTTGGCCTGCTTATGGTCCAGGATCAGGGCAATGCGGCTGCTGGGAGAGGCAGACGGGCCCTGGAGAGCGTGACCTGGGAGGCAGGGGAGAGGCAAGCCTGCGGTGAGCGGTGTGTCCTGCTGGGCAGACTCCGGCACCCAGCACAGAGCCTGGCAGGTAACAGACGCTGGAGAGCTATTCGCTGAGTGAATGAAACACCCAGAAGGCCGACACCGGCCTTGGCCCTGTCACATGGAGAGACGGGTGTCTCATTCAGACATAACGCGGGCAGGATGTCCTGGTCGGTCTTGGAAGGGATGGGTGCCCCGGGGCGGGCTGCTCGCCTTCTCCTTCACCAAATGCAGCCCGAGCAGCGCATGCTCCACACCAGCGCAGCGATGGGTCCCGGGCGCTTCCCTAGGACTGAAGCAGACACACAATGGCTGCGGCAATGCCACACACATCAAAGCAACACCTGGACCCAGTGTCCTGGGCAAATGCTGAGGGCAAGGGTGGACCTGC